GGCCGGGCCCGGCCCCCCCCCCCCCCCCCGGGCCGCCCCGCCGCTGCCGCCCGGGGAAGACTCACCCAGGCGCAGTCACCTACTCGTCCCGCTCGCCAGCCGTGTCCCCCCCCCCGTCTGCCGCCCCTGTGCTTACCCGGGCTCCGCGCACCCGGCCGGGCTGGGAGGAGGCCGGCAGAGCCGGGGCAGCCGGAGGAGGAGCCGGGCGGGGGCTGCCCGCCCCCCGCTGCCCCCCTCCTCTCAGCCGCAGGGCCGGGAGGGAGCCGCAGCCCCCGCCGCACACCCAGCGCCCCCGCTTTCCAACGCGCTCCCTAACCTCCAAGTCAGGGGTTTAAGATGTTATCAACTAAAAAGGGGAGGGGGAAGGGGGGAAAAGCGGTTCGAGTTGCGTTTTACCTTTTCTCCGCAAGACTTGCGTAGCCCTTGTGCACCTGATGGGCTTGTGAGCAGCCTCCTTCACGCCTGGGTTTATATCGTCTTCAGCTGCGACAGCCTCTCCTCCTCCTCCATCACATCCTGCCATCTACAATTACGATCTGGGGGAAAAAAAACCAAACCCAAGAACACCCAGATTGCTCTAGGTTACATTTAAGGGGGACACCGTTGTACCGGCTCATCCAATAAAGTACAGCTCAAAGTGTCAGCACCCCCGGAGCACTCTTTCTGCTGCGAAGCTAACAGGCCTGGCAGCAACACAGAGCAGAAGTAAACCCACGAGCTGCAGGTTACTTTGCGCCAGCAGCTGTAACATAACTTCATTTAGGAGTCAACTTTTTTTGGACAGTACTTTCCCTAATGCTTGTTTTTCCACAGAAAACTATTCTCCACCTGTGAGTGAAATGTACCATATTCACACCTACTACACCCAGAAGAATTATTTAGGGGGCCTGTTTTAAAAGTTATAGGGGGTGGTGTTGGTTTGGTTTGTTGGTTTTTTTTACATCTGAAGATGTGCAACTGTAGGAACAGAAAAGAACTCTACAAGTTAATATTTTTTGAAAAGTGTTAACTTCATATATTTTAGAGCTATAAATAGCTACATTTTCTAAGAATAAACTGGAATTTAATTATGCAATAAGATTATTCTGCTAACAGAAGCTATACTAAAGCAGCAGACCCCACTCCTAAATCAGATTTCCTTATTCTGCTTTTTACTGCTTTTCTCCAGCAGGACACGCAGTGCCTACCATACTCGCCCTGTTAACAGTCCTCACCCTTGAAAGCTGAGCAATGCAAGAACTCCACAGCAAGAATCATAGAATAGAATCATAGAATTGTTTGGGTTGGAAAAGACCTTTAAGATCGAGTCCAACTGTCAACCCAACACCACCATGCACACTAAACCATGTCCTGAAGTGCCTCGTCTACAAGTTTTTTGAACACCTCCAGGGATGGTGACACCACCACTTCCCTGAGCAGCCTGTTCCAATGCCTGACAACCCTTTCAGTAAAGAAATTTTTTTCTAATATCCAATCTAAACCTCCCCTGGCACAACTTGAGGCCATTTCCTCTCATCCTAGAATAAGGACACAAGATGAGCTGTGCCATGGGCACGCAGCACCCAGCTTGCTCAGCTGTTCTCTGTCCTGCAACAGTCTGACTCAAGAGTGAAAGGATGTGTAATCTAGCTAGGTTCCACCCCACCACACACCCACCACCAAAAAGCAGCTCCCACAATAAAAGCCAAGGAAGAAAGCAGCACCAGAGCAATTAATTTTAAATACAGTGGCACTACAGGATGGTCCAGCCTTAGAGAGAGCATTTCTGTGTTACATGATAGGGTTACCACAACACAGCTGTTAAAAACCTGTAATTCTAAAACATTAAGAGGATCACCGTTACTGTACTTTCAGCCCTTCTCTACCAGGTAAATTTTAAGAGATTACAGTACTAACTAATCTAAATCAACTCCCTAGCTGTTACCATCTAAAAAGAAATTCAAGGTAACACAGTTCTCGTGAGGGAACAGTAACCTGGCTGGAGATACCCAACAGGGCCTGGCATAGCCAGGCAGGTGCTGAATCCCACTTGGAAGTTCTCCCTGACCCATCCCAAGGGTCAGCTGTACTGCAGGCAGAAGGAGCAGCTGACCACTGTGATGCACACAGTGTGACTGAGCAATGCTCTTGTAAATAAAAAAGTACCTTCAGAAAAAGTAGATATATATTTAGGAGGGGAGAAAGTGTCCAACCCACTTGTAGTAAGAGTTTGAAAGTAGACAGCAAGACCTCAAGAGTCCAAGCCTCAACACAGAACTGAGTTTCAAAAGCATTGTACTGCCTTAACCTGACAGGTTTAACCAGCATCTAACATGCAAGTACTGGTACTTGCACAAGACTGAGCACATGTAGTTGAAGAATATCTTGCACATCTCTTCCCACACAAAACTAAACACAGATCAATAATTTTGTATCTGTACAGACAAAACACTCCCTTGTGCCTACCTCGCAGTATGTAGTTAGGAATGGAACACAACACCAAGTGCTGAACAATAAATAAATAAATACAAAATTTCAGTTGAACTCAATGAACGAAGTATAGCCTAGTTCCTCCAACAGTGATTCATAAATGAAAACGATCTTTTAAGGCTTAAGAAAACCTGTTGCTTTTCAGTGCTATATAGTTTTTATTAAATTTATATTACTTCCCTTTCAGAAGTGCTATGTTATTCTGGAGTTCCAGCTCACTTTTGTTTTTCTTCTCCAGAGAGGATGGAGAAGAATTAAGAAATTTTATTTACTAAGGACATGGATGTTATAGTTTAAGTGTTTCATATGATAACCTTTGTTCAGATATAAATCACACATGAAAATTTACTTTGAAATTAGATTCTGTAATAGCATTTAGATAAATATAATCCATAGCTGATAGTTTATCACTTCAAGAACAGATTTCTATTACAGATCAAAAGTAGCAGAGAAAAACAAAGCAAGAGGAACCCAAGGCTACATCAAGAAGTCCAAAAGGTTTCCATATTTCTTGCTTGATTTGTCCCTACATCAATGTTCCCAAAGATCTCATATGAAATTAAGGAGTGGACTGTCTTTGAACCATATGAAGTCTCCTCCCCTTTCCTTCCACTGCCTAGAAGGATTACTGCCAGATACCTTTGTGCTGCACCATACATACATCTCTAAGTGAAACACCAGACACTGCTTTCCAGGGGTTTTTGCCCAAGCAGAACAAGCAAAGATTCACTTTTCCTTTCTCCTGCTTATAAAGCATAGGCAAAGTGACTGCTTTTGACTACTGCAGTCCAGTCAAAGTCATCTTCTGAAATGCAATGGCTAGTTGCTAGGAGAGGTGGTATGTGAAAGTGAACAAAAGCTGTGGGAGGACTAAAGCATCAGTGAGTTGCTTTGCCTGTGGGCAAATAGTCAAAGGACACTTGAGACGGCCACAATCTTGGCTGAGAACCTGGGCCACAAAAAGAACTCTAGAGACCCAAGTGTAAGAGTTCATCTAATTATTATATACTGCAAGAATACGAGGCAACAAAAACTAAGAGGCAGGAAAAAAAATCTGAGGCAATTTAAGTGTAATAAATCATTAAGTCAAACAAAAAAATTTCTCTTTCACAAGTTTACTCTCAAGGTCCTTCCAATCTGCAGAAAGCCCAAACTTAAAATATATACTTCAAGTGGACAAAAAAAGCTGACCCTGAGTTTCAATAACCAAATACCCACTGTGCTCTATGAACAGTAATGTGGCCCCTTAGTAACACTGCCACTGGATTAGTCAGAAACGACAATTAAGTATCAACTACATTTTAGAGAAATACTAAAAATCCGTTAATAGTTTGATTCAGTATTTTTGTCATATCTCAGAACAGGACTTTCTATTATGATGTGAAAAAACTTGATAGGGTAGAAATCCTGACAATGTAGCTACAGACAAAACAGCTGTAATACAATTTACTTCAAAACAATATTCACAGATGCATATTACACAGTGTGAGTGTACATAAAGAACGGTGCATTGATTTTAGAGAGAACTACCTATATGCAGTCCAAGATTCAGCCTTTAATGATACTGAAACCAAGTTTATGAAGAACAATTTTCAGTCTAACTTCAGACCGGAAATTAAGTTGAAAGAAGACTAATCAAGATAAGATATAGTTTTTCAAGTAAAATTAATGGCACCAAAGTTGAAGTAAGCTTTATGATCACAATAATTTCAAATGTAAGTTTGCAGAATAGACCCGCAATGCAATGGCCATTCCATAAAGTTATGTGCATTCAACAGCAAAATAAAAGCAAAAAAGCTTAGCAGCGCACAGTGGTATAACACAACAACAGAACAGAAAATTTAGCTTGCAGCTTTGAAATTCTTCGAGTTACATACTCATTTCACAGTAACAATCCAAGCATGCAGACAAATACAGCTACGTAAACAGCAGAATTTCTACAAAGTGACTCTCATTTTTAAGCTGATGAATACACTTGCTCTTCCAAAAAAGGAACGGCAGCAACCTGGTATACATACAAATGAAACTGCACATGTCAGAGACTTAGTGGTCCAACAGTTTTTTCATTTCAGTGAATCCATCTGCATTGCCATACTTGTTTAAAAGGAAGAGTAGGATCTGTTCATGCTTTTTAAGCTGTGGAATAAGAAGAAAGAATTAGAAATATACAATTCTTTTTAAATTGCTGATTTCAGATTAGGGTAGATCCTAAAACCACTGACTCAGCTAAGTCCCATATTAGTTCAAAGAACATGCAGATCCTTTCTGCTGTAAAGGCTCCTGGAGGGGAAAAAAGCCAGCAGAACTGTAGCTGACCTCCCCCTTCCCCCCTGTCCTTTTTTTTTTTCCCCTGAAGAAGAAACAAACTTCCTTGACCTGAATTGATGAAATACTCAAACTAGGACTGAGATCAGGATCTTAAATTTGGTTATTCACAACATCCATTTCCTGATGTTTTCAGTTATATTGGAATCTTCTGTCTTCTCTTCCTCCGTTAGGAGACTTTAAGCCGAACTCACCCAAGTAAGGAAGGATGACAGAAAACAGAAACTGACCAAATTGAAGTCAGAAAAGACATTAGCAAGAACAAACCGAAAGATCACAGAAATATAGAGGGGGAGGGGAAAACAAGGTTCAAAAGCCTACAATGGGACAGAGAAATCAACTACATTCAGGAACAGCATAGTTTTACTGCCTTTCTGCCACTAAACTTCTGGTAACTACACTTACTCTGAAGCAGTAGAGGTCTAAATGACCTTGCACAGCAATGCTCTTTTCCTACCTCCAAAATATCATAGCGCATATTTTTGCTTTTGACTTTGCTGCCTCTGGCTGGGGAGAGAGGGGGAAGTTTGAACCACCCTTGAAAGGGGTTTGTCTTTAACATTCAAAATTTTGCTCATTCCTCTGACAAAGATCCTCACTTTGAGAAAGAGTGATGCATCTTTCCTGGTATACTAGATTACTAGAAGTAACTTCTAAAGTTCTAATTTTTCCATAAATAGCCTAAGTTAAAATAAAAAATGAGAAAGCTTAAAACCAGAAAGCTTTCAAAGATTACAGGAATATGCCGTATATGTAAGAGACACTTTTTTTTTTTTTTTCAAAAGGAGATAAAAAAAAAAAAAGCCTTGCAACTGGCAAGGTTCTCAGCCCTAGCTCCCGTGACTAAAGCTGTGGCACATATTAATCTCTGCTACCTAGAATACACATGTAAGAATTTTCTTACATGTGCAGCTCTATCAAGTTGTATCCACAGCAAAACATAGCCGCATTACTGGAAAAAAAAAAAAAATCCAGCTGCCCTTTGTCCACATAACACAGTTTATGCAAAACACTGCAACTACCTTTACACAACAGACAAAAGTAACACTCCTGACCCTTCATGCTCTACCAAAAAAAAAAAAAAGAAAGAGAAAAAAGAGCTGTATGTGTGTCAAAACAGACTAATGAAGTCTGTGTGATCTATACACTATCCTCTCCCAGTTTCAGGGTGCTCTAATTATTACCATGTATAAAACAACTGAGAAAAAGTGTTGGGATATTCACTTTGCTATCTTCAATGTTTTGGTTAGCTATTATCTCCCTACTCCCATTTGCTTCCCACATAGGGTTTCTTTTAAATTCTGGAAATGTAAAAAAGCAAGTATTGCTTGGACTGATTCTTACTTGCGTTTTTAATTCTGTGCAGCAGCATTTGGTCTCACCTCCATTGCCTACAAAAAACAAAGCAAGTGAATGAGCAAAATACACAAGGACGCTGCTTGCCTAATTTCAGAGGTGACATGTGGAATTCTCTAAGATTTTTAGAAGGAAAAGTCACTTAGGCATCCCACATGCCCACAGTTCTTCAAATTAACTACGTACGTACCTTGATGTTCAGCATGTAATTTTTGAGCATTGCAGGATTTGACCAAACCTTCCATTACCACTTTGTCAGCTACATTCAGACTACTATTTTCACAAAGTTTCTCCACTGTTACTAAAGTAACATTTCCATTAATCCCTCTCACTGTAATTGTGACATATTTATTCAATAACATTTCTTTCAACTTGTCAAGGAACAATGGAGACCACTCAGCTTTCTCTATTCCTGCAGGGGGGGAAAAAAAAAATTAGTCAAGTTTGTTTTACAAAGAATTCCTTTATGATATGACTCAAAGCTTACATGTAATGCTATTATTGTTTTTGAAAATATGATGCTAAAGTTTTCAGTATAAATACCTTAGATCTACAGACAATTATTTCTAAAACAGCTTTCAGTGTTAACCAGTATACTATTTCAGCAGATCATCATGTTGTTTATCGGTATTAAGGAATGAACATTATCATCAGAATAGATACAGATCTAGAATATTCAAGAAAACCAGTTGGCGTTTTCTGGGGGTGGGGTTTTTTGGGTTTGCCTTTTCTGTTTTTTTTTGTTTGGTTTGGTTTTTTTTTTTACCTGCAAGTGAACATATAATTGTCTGAAAAGGCAGCTTTAAGTAGGAATCGGTGATTGGCAGCACCTCTGAAACTGGTAAAGTTTCTGTGTTCCCATAGTCTGCATATAGTACTTCCACTACAGACTGAGAAGCTTTTAGAACAAGAGCTCTGTACCAACGGCCATCACCTGAAAAGATTGGGACAAGAAGAATCACATGTGAAGTACCATCTTATAGACACAGCTTATCCCGAGAGCAAGAATCTGTATAGTTTTCCAGGAATTTTTAAATACTCTGGTATATACAAAAGGCCACTTGACAAGAAGCAACCCCATAGAACAAGGGAATAGTTTCTGATTGCTGTATTCATAAAGATGTAAGTGTTGCTTTCAGAATTTTGCTCAAATTATACAGATAAGATTTTTACTACAATACCATTTTAAGGATGTCTGCACACTGTATTTCTAGCTCCTTATCTTTGTTTTCCAATCCATATTCCCTCACAAAACATAACCAAAATTAAAAAGAAAAAAAAAATCCTTCTTCCTCAATTATCCTGAGGAGCCATAAAAAAAACCCCAAAAACAAAACAATGGAAGTTAAAAACAACTGTCAAACACTTAGGTATACTCTTGTGGTCTGCTAGTTGTTTTTTTTTTTTTTTTTTTTATCTATCCTGTTTTCCATGAGCTGTTATCTGATCTAGCACCCAAGTTCATTTTCAGCACTTAGCCAGATCTCCTGTAACAATCCACATGCAGTCAACATTTAATATTTATGAGTCAATGCTACTTTTTTTTTTTAAATACTGAGCTAATATATCAGCAGAGTATCCCTTCTTCTGAAAGTTAAAGACAATAAATTAAAGTTCCCTCACTGTTAAGAATACTTTTGACTTGAAATAACAGTTCACTAAGCATGGATAGTCTGTTAGGCTAACAAGACTGAATGATCAGTTGTCATAGCCAGTGTCACCTCTCCATGCTCACTCAAAGCAACAACAAAAACACACCCAGGCACCCACAAACCAGAAGTGGTTCTGTAGAGATGCAAGTGCACTATTGCTCTGCCATGAATTTCATGCCCCTGTAACTCAAACAGAAACAAATTTCAGTTTAAACAGTAACTAGCTTGCTTTCCTCTTAAAGCTCTGTATATTTTGCAGGGCACAACCTATTCCTTATTTTCTTTCCCAGACTGTCAGACAGTTTCTTTACTCTAAAGATGCATCCAGGCTATTCTTTGTAACAGAATTAAGAGATCTATAAGCACTTTGAAGTTGGTGGTTTTACTTTTTCTAAAGCAAAAAATGAAAGTTGGGCATTACACTCATCAAGGAAATGTAAGAACAAATGATTGCCTCACCTGAAAACCTTGCACAACAGGCTTCACCCAGTTTTGGTTTGAAGGGCTGGTTCTTACAAGATTTACAATAGCCTTCTAGTTCAATCAACTGCCTATGTAGCTGCTCTCGATCTACAGAAAAAAAACGGTTCGATAACTAGCCATTTGGGTATAATGAAGAGCATACTTACTTTTAAGCTCCCCTGCTCCCACCTTTGGCATTTTTTTATATTTTTCTACTGTCCAACCTACATTTCCACATGGTTCAGTTAGCTATAGGCATTCATTTTATTAACTAGCTTGGAAGAGTGACTTCCCACTGATGCTAGAACAGTAAATGCTTTTTCTTACCTTTAGTTTGAACTGGTACAGCATAGAACAAGTCTGGGCTTACAACTTCCGTTACACAGACAGATACGGTTTCATCTATAGCCAATTCAATCAACTTCCAGTGCCCAAGTGAGGTTTCTAACAGAAATAGAAAATTCAGTGTACCACTTTCATCCAAGCACATACATATAAGTAACTGTTATGGAATATCTTTTTGAATTTGAGAGACAACTGCATGTCTTCACTTCAAGAAGAGAAATCTAAACCAAGATAATTCTTGCTTAATTTGCTGTTCATAAACTATTAGCATGTAAAAGTAGCTAAAAGTAAAAAACACCTCAGGAAAATAAGATACTGGAAAGTAAACATGTGAAAAGTTTCAGTTGTAGCAAATTTGTAATTTTCTACTATCAAATATTCAAATAGCATTCATTTAAGACAAACCCAGCGATTTTTATCTTTCTCTTTTTGTCTATAATGCCACCTGCAGGGCAGCTTGTGTTTAACTGTAAAAACTGATAATATAATCAAAACTATGCATGTTTATTATTGATATTAACTAAACAGCAAGATCATGCTTAAAGGCTGGAATACTGAAAATTCTTGTTCAATCTAGAAGTTCACATTTGTTTAATTACCTTTTTTGTCAACAGACTTGTTTGGAAAGTTATTTTTATCTTGTAGAACTTGCTTTACAGCCAATTTTTCAGAAGCCAGTATCTCATTGATCACTTTTGGATGACCGGTGGAATTGTCAATAAGCTCTACACCGGCCCCATCACTGGAAAGGGAAGTTACTCTGGCTTGAAGCTTTATTCCTGCAGTGTACATACGAAATCTTGCTGTAGCTTCTGGAATCCATTTGCTCTTACCAGGCTTTATACCTAGGAAGTAGTAGGAAGTAGGAGAACTGTTCAAAATACCTCCATTAAGTGACTTTCTTCAACATTATACTTTCCTTAAATAAAAAAAAAAATTTAAAAAAAAAAATCACACACACCCCCTTTTTTTTAAAGCACAACTTGAAATACCAGGGCTATTTTTACTGCCTTAGGGATACACATTGTACTTCATCCTGTTAACTGGTCTCCCTCTTCCTCCTTTCTTCTAAACTAACACATTTCCTCAGCACTCCCAAGTTGTTTTCTACGTTTTATGATATTCTACCAAGTAAATCCTTGTGCCTTAGCACAAATAACACTGTTAAGACTGTTTATGAATCAGTTTAATACAGCCTTTTTATTAAAGGAGCGGAAAAAACAAAAAAAAAAACAGCAGAAGACACCTGTTTCCACAGTTTTTATTTTTAAACCAAGTAGACTACATTAGAAAGAAAGAGTAATTCTACAGAATTGAGTGATTTGGTGTGGAAAAGGAAGAGGCAGAGAATTGGTAGAAGACTGAGAAACAGCAGTACGGTGCCAAATTCTGTAGGAATCAAGTGAAACATCCCTACAGAGAACTGAAAGGCCAACTTGCTTCATAAGAACAGCTGAGCTCCTTTGCCTGCAAAAATTTTGAGAAATAATTAAGTTGCACAAAAGCACGTTTACTCCTAGCAAGGCAGCAACCAAAAGCTAGTAAGCACTACAGATGAAGCAGAACTAAATGACAAGTTCCTTTTGACTGATAAATCAGTAAGTAACCTCCAAACAGATGACTCCACAGCACTGTCAGGAGCTCAGGGAAGAGGCACCATCTTTCTGTTAAATGCCAGTCTGCTGTGTAGTAGGGCTAAAACAATGGCTCCCACGATTTCCAGAGGCTGGAAGCAACACAGATGTTTATTATAAAAACACCCCCACCCCCAAAAAAACTCACTCCCCCAAAAACCAGAGTTCTGTGAAATATAGCCTGTCATTACCTCCTTCCCCCAAAGCAAAAAATCTCTAAATGCAATAGCTCTTTTAAGAGAAAGAAGTCATAAGAAGATTCACCTGAGAGCCAGCATTTAATTCCTTGAAATGGAAGTTTTAGGAATGAGGATGAGATCTGCCGTATTTTATCCAGTGGTACTTCCTCAACATTTCCATAGTCCACAAAGTACACTTTAACAGTTCCATCTGAAGTAATGTTTTGCACCAAGGCACGGTACCAGTTACCATCACCTAATTTTAAAAAAGTTCTTTTAAAAAAAATTACTTCACACATTTAATAAAAAATTACCAGCATTTATTTTTTAGTAAATAATTCCAATTCTTTGCTATTCTCTTCCAATGCAAACTATCTGCTAATTTTCTTTTTCTTTGCTTTATGTTCACCCTGTAAAAACAAAAAAAATTTTAGTCTGTTACTTACCAGAGAAAAAAGCACAGCAAGGTTCTCCATTCTCAGGCTTAAAAACATTTGGTGGAGTTTTCTGACAGTATTCAGACAATGATTTGTTAAGTAAGTTTAGAGCTAGTAACTCTGAAAATGAGAAAGAAAAAAAAACAAAGGCAAGATGAACAAAATAAGCTGACTTGAACTCTATCAATACTGTTTGCAGTATAGCTTACTTATAAAAGATTTGATGAGAGATTTCTGTGAATTTTAGAATTTCACAAAAAAAGCACTGTTGACACTGAGTTAACTATTTATCTTACTAGACAGACTTATTAGCAGGAAGAGGCAAGATAGCTGATATTTACTGACAAATTAGTTCAGTGTGATAGTAAAATGACCAGCAATTCTTCCTGCTAACCCAACAAGCACCCTTCACTCCAAAGTCTAAAGTATATTTTACAGCCAGATAACACCATCGGAATTATCTAGTTCAGCCAGTGCATATGACACATTATGGGATCTCACCCTGCTTGCTTATTTTTTTTTTTATATCAAGTCCATTAGCCTGCTCTATAACATCACTTTTAAGGAAGAATTTAGTCATGTTTTAAAGGCAATAAGCCATGAAGAATCCATACTATCCCTAGATAAGTCAAGGAATAAACTTCCCTCACTTTTTAAAATGTGCTCTGTATTTTTTGTTTGAATGCATTTAGTTTCCACTTCCAACCACTGAATTTCATCACGATCTTTTTCTAGCAGGTTAAAAAGCCAGTAGCTATCAGAAGTCTTTATACGTGCAAATAGAAGATATTTTTTTTTTTAACCTTAGCCAAGAGGAACTCAAGTTTCAAAACCTGCTTTTTCTCATTTTCATGTTATTTTATCTCTTTTGAATCTTTGTAAGTTTTTATAAATTAGAACAGGACAGACTACTCGATGAGAGCTCCAGTAAATATTGTATGGGCACAGGGAACATGTCTCTTATTTGCTATCTTTTGTCTAGATATCCTTTGCCTAGGTTATGGTAGCTTTTTTCACTTTTCTCTACATTCTTAGATTAGGTTTTATTCAACTGCTTAGCTTCAACATTTTCAGATTTCAATCTCAGAGTCACTACATACCAGGATCCAATTTCTTCATCATTCCACTTACATTCTAGATCAAAAAACCTCAGAGGTAAACCTTGGTGCTATAAGCTCACTTGAAACACTAATGCATTAAAACTATAATAAATGACAAATCAGGAAGCAAAGAAACTATCAGCAAGAAAAAAGGTGAATAAACTTACCACTGTTATTTGAAATCTGACAGTAGAATTCTCCAGGATTGTACAGCGTACACACTACGACATCTACTGTTTGTTTAAGATTTAATTTACTCCACTTGCAAATTCTTTTGTTTGTCGTGTCCTCTAGAGAGAACAGAGAAGTAGAGGAAGGAAGAGGAATTAAAATAATTTTTACAGGGAAAAAAGTTATACATCCTGAATGCTCATTTCTTGTTATAAATAATCCAACAGACTAATTACCACTGAGAGCCTCTTTGCAGAATAAAAGCAAGTAAGAGAAATGTGCCAGTTGCTTAATGTATTTGATCATTACTGAGAACAGCAAGCCATAGATAAACAGGGAAGAGTAGTTACACAAAGAAGTACAGACTAAGTGGCAATAACCTGAGCAAGAGGCACTCTGAAGAGCCTTGGTTCCTGGGAAACATGGTAGGGGGCACAGAAGAGGGAAACAGCTGTCACCAAGAGTACTGAAAAGAACAAAAAGATTAAGAGAAAGAACAAAAAGATTAAGAGAAAGAATGGTGGCAGAAATTACCACAGTATATTATACTGAAGTACCTGAAAGAAGCTTATTATTTAGCACAAGTTGTAGAATAGATCATGTGAAAACTACATTATGGCACATTGGAGAAGCCATCGTTTCCTCCATTAGTGTATTATTAAATCTTCCTGTAGTTTTCATAGCTGCTAAGTTTGTTACAGCTTGTGGCAGGCAGCAGCAGCATGCAGAAATACTGTCAGCCTTTTGAAGACTTGAGTCCAAGTGGCTGGCCTCTGACTTTGGTAGACCTTTCTAGTTTTAAGTGTTTGGTTTTGTTCCTGAAAAAGAAGCTCAAGAAAGTGTTGAGCTTCAGGAATGGCCATGCTGAGATGCTGTTCCATCTGCCCAGTATTGTGTCTGACAGTAGATTACTTTAGAAAGTCATATTGCCTACAGGCAAAGAAAAAACCCACAAAACAACATCCCCCCACCCCGGGGAGGGGGAATCAAAACAGGGTCTCAAATCTTCTTTATCTTCAGTGGAATACAAGACTGTCCTCCACACTGTAAGCAACTGCCAGATCCCTACTGGCAGGGAGAAAGCACAGTTGGCATATTTTGAGAAATATGCTCAAATATGTAGAAGCTGGTTGAATTTTCCACTCCAGAAGGAAGAAAGATTCACAAGAAAAATAAAAATTAACAAATGGCTCAAAGTTTAGAGAAAGCCTTAGGATACTTAACAACTGTGAAATATAATTGTTTACTCTTTCATGTAATGGTGAGATTTCTTCGAAGTAGTTTTCTAAACCAAAAAAATGCATTGTTTCTTAATTTCTGGCTAGTTAACTAAAATCTACTCTTATATCATGCTGGATCCAGCAGTCACAGATTTAATCACTAAGTTTAAATAAAGCAAACAAGTTAATGAGGAATTATTTTGCAAGTTGACAGAGAAAGGTATCTGTTGAAATTTCAATTTAGAAAGCACAAGTTTTAAAACATGTACGACAAAAGTTGATAATCTGTTTAGAACCTGCATTCAAAAGCTCGCAGTCAGTGTGAGAAATGAAAAAAAAAGGTGAGAAGTAACCAAGAAACCTAGGAAGTACAGAACAGGTCCAGGATGATGGCCATAGATCAACGCGTGTTGGAATATAACCATGAAAGTTACTGTTCATTTGAATTTTATACAAGATTCCTTATCCTTCTGAACAAAGGTAGGGAATAACCATGTTCTGGCCACGAAGCATCTAGTGAGGAAGATCAAAATTAAGGGATTTGGACATAGGCTTGACAAAAAGACTTACCCATTTTTCAGTACAGACAGATCAGGAGAGAATATATAGTTTTACCAGACACAGGATGGACAAGAGAGGCTTAACATGCTTCATATGAGAGAAGCTAGGAACCTTCCCACAATACAAAGAAATCTGACATAAAATTTGAAAATCTCTCAAATTGAAGCTTTGGTCACTAAAAATGCAAAAAAAGGCAATTTAGGCATAGCCTTGAAGTTGTGTAGGCTACTGGAATCAAACAAGTTTTCAAGAACCAAATATGTGGGTTTAGGTGTAAAATACAGGACAACGAAGATGAAATACTATTTGAGCTAAAGAACAAGGGCATAAGAACAAGCAGGTACTAACCAGTCATATTCTACTGCAACTGGAAATTGTAAAGACTTCTAACCAGAGAAGGTGAAATACCAGTACTGTCTTCCAAAAGTAAGCAATTGCAACTTTGTTATGTATGCACATATATATATATATACGCACATACAGACACACAAGCAAACACACAATTTCTTCATGGCAAAGTTGCCATGGCTAAACTTCAGAGCTGTGAAGAACGCCAGACTTCATGAGCCAGACTGGAAAGCTCTTACCACTTAAGAACTTGTACACACTCTAGCAGGAGGTTAAATAAAGCCAGTTCAGCAGGATGTGCTCGTACTCACCATTTGCTTGCTTAACGTTACTCATTCCGATTGCTGGTAGGGCCATCCTCAATTCCTGAACTGCACAGCCTTTCTCTATGAAATGGCTCGATATATTCATTACTGGAGTAACTGATGCATCTACAAGCTCCACCACAGATTTGTAACTCTCTTTATCCACTACTTTTACTGTGAACACTTTGTCTTTCACCAGTTGGTTCATAAAACAAATAGCTTTTGAGGTCCAGGCTCCTAATGGTGGCTTTACACCTAAAAAGTCACATAGTATGGAAAGGTTCTGAGGACAGTCCAAGTCTCAACAATATGTGGAAAGGTACAACAACACTGTTTAAAACAACAGATTAAGCAGCAGATATACCAAGTAACTCACCCCCACTCCTTATGCTTGTAGCAAGATTCCAACCCCAATTATTTAGATTCTGAACTTTTGTAGTACTTTGATTTAATAAAAATCTGACAAATATCATGTATAACTAGTCTATTATACAAAGAGAAGTGTAAATTCAGATTTAATACTTCCTTAGCATGAATATCTGTAAGAACTGTCAGTCTTTGCATCTCATGACTACAACTTACCATCTCACAGCCAATGTTAATGTTCAAAACTGTATCTGCTACTATAAGCTTCTTCCTCCTTAAACGTTTACTCTATGCTATTAAATTTATTTCTAAAAGGCAAGTTATAACCAGAACTTTATAGTAACAGATTGGCAGAAGTTGCCTTCCAGAAAGATATATTTTATGCAGCAGTAATCCTTAACTCTTATCATGAAACATCTTATCTGATCACTTTTTTGTGTCCATGTTGTGTTTCGGACCTTTCTTAGTCTTAGAATACTCCTTATCAGCTATAAGCATCATGATTTGCCCCAGAAAACAGATTTCTTTAGGTCACATTCCATATGCATTAGTTCCATCTCTACACACAAGTTTCATGTTTTCCTCCAAAGTAAGAAGCTAGAACACTGCTCTGAACTTTACCAAAAATTTGAAAATCAGGTTAAATATCAAGTATTGTAAAGGAAAGATAGACATCAAGTATTCTAAAGGGTGGGTACTGAAGCAAAGTGGGGGGACTATCTTGCATAGTGATAGAGAAAATAAACAGTTTCCAACAGCAGGTTAAACAAGTATGTCAATAAAAACAGATTATGATCCTGGCTGGAGACAGAAGGATGAACTAGGAAGCATCAACATCCTTTCCAACTTCACAGATTTCACAAGTGTATGGAGAGAAGTCTACTAGTAGTTTCACTAGATTTGCCCCAGGGGAGAACAACAGATACAGTTCTGAATTTCAAGATATAAAATGAAAATTTACCTTCCCCTGCATTGTTAGAACCACAACAGATTTAAGAATTCCACAAATCCAGTAGGTGACCGAATTTTGCTTAGAACAAAAGCACAGGCAAGACCTAACAGGTATGTTAATATAACAGTTTTCCAAACATACAACTGCAGGTCACCAGGTACATTAGGAAAGATTTGTCACGTTTTGTAGATATGCTACGACAATTAAGAATTCCAGAAATATCTCCATCCTTCCCCATATTTCAATATAAGATACTACAGGTGTGATTGTTACCTAACCCCACTTATTTTGCCTCTATCCAGTTTGAAATAGCTTATTTATTTCATACCTGCCAAGGTACATCTTATGGCTTGAGCTGGCAAGTTCATTAATCTTGGAATCATAGGACGAAGTCTAGTCAGTGGAAGGACTTCACAATTACCATAATCTATGTAGCCCACCAAAACAGTATCTTCAGAAACATATGCTATAACAGCAGCACGATACCAAAGATTGTCTTCTACAAAGGAAGATACAGATGTTCATTGTACTTGCTTTTAACTTCTGAGAACAGAATCATTTTTGGGGCAGACCAATATAAAAATATAACATCAATTTTAACATAAAACAGCAGCACTACAGTTCACACAAACCTTCACAAAACCCTTACGGACGCAATATCTACCACTATCGCCCCTGGTATGAGTTGAGTGTTGCAAACTTACTCTTTCTGTAAAGAACATCCCCCTGCCCCCAATACATATTGCAACAAATAATTGACTACATTATGTGGCTGTAGTGCTTAAATTCAACACATTTAAACAGCAAACGGTATGTCAGCTGACTACGATGACACGCAATTCAAAGGCCACACAGCAGATTTAAGTATTTTAATTCAATTAAAATATTTGAGAAATAGAAGTACAAGCTTACTCAAGTTTATCAAGACATCTGAGGTACTAACTGATAGCTTTCCCTAGCTAGGCACCTGGAACCAGTGCCCACTCAAATGCCAAGAGAGCTCATTGACAGTAATAGCTTTTTCTGAACATGCGAAAAACCATTCATTTTGACTTATCTGTTCAGTACCACAGCTAATTTATTCAAAGTAGCAAAACCACAGGAAATGGAAAGAAATAAATGACCAGAAATGTTTATCAATCACATGAAGTTACAGCAGCAACATTCCTGACCAGAAAAAAGGCCTAAGAACAGCAATGTATGGAGTTTTTTTTCCTTGTTAAAAGCTGGATGAAAAGGAGAATGATCTGTGAGGAAAAGACATTCATCTTCCTACTGCACTCAGGCAAACAGGACTTCAGATTCTAATAAATAAAAAGTATTTCTTTCATATAGACTTACCAATTCCTAGCACAAAACACTGCTTTATGTAGACTAGTAGCCTATGTTTAGGCAAGATTCAATTTTGTCATGAGACTTGTAGAACCCTGACGTCAGGGATAACTGTCAGGTGCAAACTAAGTTATGAACATACAGTTCAGGACTACCAGGTCCTGGTTAAATAATGTTTTGAGAAGTTGTCTATCAGAGCAGCATCGTTACATATAATCCCATTTCTTCTGTCCCTTTACTGGGGTCTAAAATTTCAAGCCTGTATTTATTTCCAGCCACAGGAAATAGCGCTCACCAACCTATAAAAAAACAAATTTCTTCATGGTGTCTTAAAAAGCTCCTTTATACAAAAATGAACCCAGTGTCAAGCGTTTGTTCAATGAAGGGACCATTTAATGGTCTTTTTTTAAACTAGTATTTTATAGATGTCACCATTTGCTATTAATAATTTTTTTAAATCACTACCAAATGCTATTCACAGCTAAAGCCAGACACAAATAAAATAAACTATATGAAACATTCCTAAACATAATTATAAAACATGTTTATATTTTGTAATAAAGTGACATAAATTAAGAGTCATATTTTCACTCCATTTTTACCTGTGAACTGGGCACAGCACACATTTCCAGCAGCAGGATGGAAAGCTGGACTACTGGGAAATCTGTCACAATGTTCATTAAGAGACACTTGAAGTTCAGCAAGTTGACCTGATGTTAAAATATACAGGTTTTGGAACATATGCTATCTTGTAATTATTACAAAAGTACACAAATCTTAAGTTCAAAGCCTGGAAGAACATCTTGTAATACAATGGAGATTATTTCACATAATAATGCCAAATAGCGATGAGACTAGAAGTCTTCAATCAGTAAGATCGAAGAGAGTCCTCAAGTGAGTCTGAGGAATCACAGTGGTAAAGAGAACGGACAGGGAAAACCAGTCACAGACTTTTTCAACACAGGAACAAAACTGAAGCCAATAGGAATTAAAACCAAGCTAGGAGAGGCATGCTAGAAAGAAACCAAGGAAGACAGCTCTTCAACAACAGGCAGATGAAGATCGTCACTTCTTGCCAAAGGACACGCTTATGCTATGAGCCTACCCAGAATTAAAAGGCTGCACAAGTACACAGAGAAATCCACTGTAGGAGATACACCAGACCACATCCAGCTGCAAAAGCCCTTTTAGCCGGGGGGGAAAAAAAAAAAAAAAAGAAAAAAAAGAGGCTGGCTCAGATAGCTCTAGGAACACACAACCCACAAACTTACTCTGCTTTTATTCTCCCCAGACTTGAATCTACGGGTGCTGTGGGAGATGCACCAAAAGTCCATGCAGCCTAGCACTCTGGCCCACTATAGTGTTACTTAGGGTCTTAGGTTTTACTGTATTAGAAGACACCAAAGCAGTGTTAGGCACTATTATCTGCCCTTCTCACACTCATATATTCTCCCCACACTATGTAACAAAGAATTTCAGTCCACGCGCCCAGCCTATAAGGAAACACTTCCCTCCAGTGGTAAAGCCACAAGGCATCATAGAGATAAACAAAGTAATTACAAACTCACACACACTTCTGGAACACATGAAAGAACATATTTAACATTAAATATTTGTGATACAAATTGACTTCAGATTGCTAAAATCTATGCCACACCATCTTTCTACTTTGCACTACTCGGACTGCCCACAAATTATCACCTGACAGGTTCATAAGAAATATTAACAGGTAATGCTGCCAAAAACATCCTCTACAACACCATAGCTCTTAACTGACTGAGGCATGGCCTAATGCCACTGGGAATCACCATTTCAGGTCAAACTACAAGACCAGCAACACCTCCCTCCAGCCACTCTCTACTGAAGAGAAAAATGTCATATCTTACAACCCATTTTCAATGCATCACTTACGGGCATTGTGTATCTGCTGACAGAAAAATTCTTCTGGATTTTGAACGCAGGAAACCACACCAGAAAACGCATCGCCGATATGTACAGAGACACACTCTGCAACTGAATTAGCACAGTGAAGAAATTCTTCATCTTCAGGTATTTTTTGTTTACTTCCCTTAGAATGGTTGTCTGACATTGTACATTTAAAAAAAAATTTAAAAAAATCAAACCACACAATAAAAACAAGAGGTTACTGCTCAAAAGCTAGATGACTTTGAAATGTGCAACCTCACCAGCCAGGATTCAGGCACTTAAAAACTGTGCTAAATTAAACTACAAAGTTTAAATATGCTGAAGCAGTTTATTCTTTTTGCTGACTCTTTGGACTTTGAAGGCTCCTATCATATTATCCAGTAAATTAATGCTCATATAATCATCACTAAACAAGTACTTTATACTATTAAAAAGCATATGTGCTGTCACTAGTGAACCAAAGGAAGCTCCACTAGCAAATGTTTTTAAGTAGGAGGTGATGCTAGTGAACAGCTAGAGTATTTAAAACATGCAGAATATCATGCAACATGGGAAGACTTAAAATTCCCCAAGTTTTTTCCATCTCTAAGAGCTTTGACTGGCTTGCTTACCTCTTGGAGTGTCTGCCCCTTTGACATTACTTCCTGGAGTTAAATCAGACCTAATTTCTAAAGGCACTTTATCTAGGCAGTCCCCTAAAACACAGATGTAAGAAACAAAATAATTTACTATACAAGACAGTCATAATTTAGTTTTATTTCAGAACCATCTTCTGAGCCTGACCTATATTCCTATCACAAGGTAAGAATGTTCTACTTATTTGTTGAGCACTTAATATGCTTAGAATGTAAAATAAAAGCAGTTTCAGAATAATTCAGCTGCTTGAGTTTTCTGAAGACATTCACAGCTCCAAGACTGACTAAATAAAATGAGCAAAGCAGTAACAATCAACATTTACTCATAGTCACTAAAGACTGTTGGCTGAAAAACTGGTTACAGCTTTTCACACAAGGTTTCACAACTTACCTCCATATTTACAACACTGAGTATGCAACGAGTTATCAAGACTTACAAAGAAATCTTGAGTTTCTTAGCTACTACATATTCCATTTCTGATACATGAAGCAGTATTCCAAGCTTTCAATATAATTATTTCAACTGAAAATCTGAATACAGATGTTTAAGTTGCTTGTAAGGTCATGGAATAGATGCGTGCAACACTTCATGAATGCAGTGAGATTTTTGTGATTTTCTCTCCAAGACGTTGGCAAGTTACATTGCTTTGCCATTAGTGTACTGTAAAGCAACCAAATATGGAACGTGCCCAGCACAACCCTGAATCAATTGAATTTACACAGGACTAAGGTGAACCATCATTTTATAGACTGCAGGGACTATGATGTGGAGATAAGCTTCCTGCACATCAGGAATTTTAGAAAGCTAAAAGGATCAACCATCACTTCCTTCAAAGTCTCTGTGGGCTGCATATCAATGAAAAGAGTATGTTCTTAGCACTATATTGTTCTTGCTTTGCAGCCAGAAAAAAACACACAAACAAATCAGCCCTCCAAATAATGACAACAGGCACACCTTCTGTGTATTGATCTGGTTCCACAATCAAAGCCACACCCCAGCTCAACTGAAAAATCTGAATTCAGACTCCTCAAAGGTCAGGTGCTTTGCTTGTCTATTCACTGAGGCTTGCTAAGTTAGAAATATAAACATGCTTAGAGTTCTCCAACTAGATACAACAATATCCAGTGGTTGCGCTTTCTTTGGGATACCTTTTTAGTGAGCATGTACAAAATATAACAAAAGCTGGTAAAATCCTTAGGGAAACTAGAAACTGATACTATCATTTTTAAAGAGTTAAAAATGCATGAGATAAAAGGAACAATGTGGTCCCAAATTTGCATCCATCTATTAAAACAGAAAAATAAACAAGATAATCCAGAAAATGCCAAAGTTATTACAACTCTACTGGAAAAGTAACCTTACTAAAATTTAAGATTATTAAGCATAACAAGATATTTCAGGTACAGACATTTTAAATGACCTCTATATGGAAAGGTGAAACAAAAGAAAATTTAAAAAAAAAAGAAAAAAATCAAGGGGCAGGTTGGGAGAGTGACAAGAGAGAGGAGAGCAGAAGAAAAAAATCTCTTCTTTTAAAGATATTGGGCAGGGGTAGGGGGAGGGAAAGTGAACACGTAAGACTTATCAATGGTGGTGGTTTTTTTTACCCACACTACCAAGTACGTACCACAATCTGGAAGAACAACATCTACAGCAAAACTCAACATCATTTCTTCCTCAAATACATCAACAACAGTTACTGAACAGTGCTTTCCCACGAGTTGGGAAGAAAAGCTGGTGATGTCTTCATTCCATCCTTTTGCTTTTGGATCATAATTAGCAAAGGAACACTTAATGGCCTGGAAAGAATTACAATTAGAACAAGAGGGGATAAGGGTTTTTTTGCCCTGTAGAAGAAGTGACTAAATAATTAAGGCCCTCAGAAACATCACCTTGCATATTAAAGTTAAAGCTGCTGTTGGAATCTGAAGCACTATCAATTCAACTAACTTCTTTACAAGAGAGTTAAGAATTAGGAAATTAAGTTCAAACTGTAAACTACCTTTCCCCCGATTCTCCCACTACTTATGATGTCTTATGTAAGGCATGGTTTTATCACACATCACATCTGACCACAGGTGCATGTCCTAACTTGCCCTCAGCAGACACCAAGGGCTTTAAGCCAAGATTCAAACAGCTCTCAAAATTTTTTATGGACCCAGCAGAGTCATGTGAACAAGCTATGAAAGACTACTCCAATAGCAGCTAGTCATTGTTGTCACTGGTTGGAAAAATGCTTCTCTGTTCTTCTTTGTGCATAGTTAAACGTACTAGTCTAACTCACAGATTAAAGCAAGACCATCTGTTTTGTAATGGAAGAAATCACACAGTGTGGCAATGAACTCAGACCAACAGCTGTCTTTATGCCAAACAAAGTCTGCCCAAACTACAAGTGATTTTTCATTACTGCATGAGACCAGATTTGAATACACAGGCAGAATGTTTCCCCTGCTGTCCTCCAGCATATAAAGGACCTGTGGACCTAACCGCCCTGCAGGGTTTATCAGCTCAGAACCCAAGAATTCTGGGACTAGGAAGAAAAAAGCCAGGCAGCCTTCCTGACTCCTATGAAATAGCTAGGAAACATTTCAGAAGGTGAACTTAGTGTAGTATAGCAGTTTTTATGCATCGCTTTCACTAACCACAAAATACTGTAATAATGACAGTTACACTGAGACACGAGTTAAACTCATTTCAGAGCTATTCATTTAAAATACCTCAGCTATTGTTAGGAAAATAGAACTCACACATGGAGGAAGCAACAGTTCAATGTCTTTGTGCAGAGCTTTAATCCAGGAGAGTGGAATATTTTCTTCATTTCCATAATCTATATAGAATACTTGTGCTTTCTTTTGCAATATATCCACATCTTTTACCAGTGCTCTATTCCAGGTCTGTGCAGGAATAAATTATAATCTTAGTAAAAACACAATGTATTTTGCTTTACTTCATCAGGTTTGTTTATGAATAAAGGCACTGACCAACTCTGAAGCGACTCAGATGAACACAACTCACTGTAGTGTTGACTGCTGTGAAGATAAAATTCTACTCCTATGGATCTTGGCTACCATACAGTAAATCAAGAATCTGCTAACAATGGAGGAGAAAAAGGGGAAGAAATACAAGAAAGGGGTGGGAAGGGAAGCAGGAACTAGATGTGGCTATAGAAATGCAATCAGAAAACTCAGGTCAGAAATGAAGAAAGAATAACTTCCTTAATTAAGCAGAGTTGTATTCCAAACTGTTCTAACTACAGTAGTTTAAATTCACTAAGAACACACACAGCCTTCAAGCAACAGTAGGACAAACAGCACCTACAGGGCTCAAGTACATGAACAAACAGAAGTGAACTTTTTAGAGGGGAGGAAAAAAAAAAAATCAGTACCTTAAAATTTGAGTTCCAGGTGTTACAAAACTAGTTACTACTACAATTCCACCACAACAAACTGATCTCTAATTAGCAGCCTTCACTGGCAGAGACATAAAAGCAAAACACAAGCTCAACATAAAATTTTTTTTTTATGGACATTCAGATGTTACCTGATCCAAAGAACACCTTGCAACACAGACTTCCCCTTTGATAGCAGTATGTTGCTCTTGAATAACTGTGTTAGCGTAACAGTCTTCCAGTTTCACAGAAAGTTTACTGATCTGGTCTAAAACTTCTGGAGAACTCATCTGTATATAAAATTCACTTGGACTCTTGAACTTTGTTACTACACCCTAAAGAGAAAAGCCATAGCAGATGATAATTAAGCAAGAAGAACCTACAGTACATTATTCAGGACCAGTGTTCATTTCAATAAATGCATATACCTGATTTTGTTCTTTTGTTTTGAATCTAGCAGTAGTTAACTGCAGGGAACAAAACCAGTGATGTTCACCTGCACCGAAATAATCTTCCTTACTTACTCCTCCCCAGCCCTACTTGCATTTACTCATCTTTATAAAAATAAAGGAATTTTACATATGAGCAAAATGAGACAAAGAGCTGAGGTGACACAGAGCTATCATGCTTAACAAGGCTTCAAATGCAACCTAACAAAGCATTGTAGGAAACTTCCAAAATAAAAGGACCTGTACTTCCATAGCTTTTTTGATCCCTAGAGTCTGGAGATCTGAAAGCATTATCTTCTTCATGCGCTCTTCTGTCTTGAGAGAATCCACAGAAATTGAATTACCCTATTTAAAACAGGTACATGTTAAGTTTAAAATGGAGTTGTTCCGCTGTAGCTCCTTGTAGTAACAAACAAAAAAAGAACTTCTTATCATTTCAAGAAACATGTAAAAAGGTGCTTTTGTTGACTTTTAATAAGAAGTCTTACAGACTTTGTATGACTCTTAAAAATAAAGATTATCACAGAGATACACTGAACAGACAATGAAAAACAAGTGCTGAAGTCTCACACGTTCACCCTTTCCTTCCACATCTGTTTTACAGGACAACTCAACTATATTTCCTGCTTACGATGCTCTCATAAATAAGAGCAATTGAATTCTACCTGCTTCCTTGTAGCCTTAATACCATAGACTAGGTTATAGCTGCTGCTTTAACTGTTGGCATCCATTTTTTAAAAAAGTCTAAACATTTAGTGCCTAATGCACACCATTTGTGTCTGTGACATCCTAAAAACATTAGAAAAATAACCTCATACACATCCTTACCAAAAACCTCGTTTCCATTTGGACCAACATACTGCAGACAACGCATGATGAGCGAGACTACTGTTGCAACTGCCAAATTAATTGTTTACTTGCAACAAAGATCCTTCTAGAAGATTCTCCATAAAAACACCTCTCTCAGTACTGTAGCAAAATACATTAAATATTGTTCAATATGCAATACAAGTTCTTACTTCCGCAGAACTTACTTGAGTTTCAGAAGATGAACCAGGGAAAAATAAAACCTTCTATTATTTAAAAATAAATTGGCTACAAATTCTTTATTCATACTATACATCCTCCTGATATAAAGGTCCCTCACTATCAGTTGATCAGTTTTATTAGAACACAGTCACAAGTACACACACAGCAGAAACTTATTCAGGATGAACTAACATAAGTCTCATGATGCAAGATGAAGCCTCCTTCCTAAATTCCTTCAAAAAGTTAAACAGATGAATGAGCTACTTCAAAGTAGTGCATGACAAAGGAGTTTTCTTGTACAGTGCAAACATGAGGCTAGTTGGAGGTTTGCACACTTATTCGCTTTCATAAGTATCATCCTAAGAAACCACGAAGACAGCAAAACGATCTCCTGCAGAAGGGTTCATAGGAACACTACAGGAAATGTTTGGCTGAAAGTAGATCAAGAGAGGCTTCAAAACATTACAAAGGAGAACTGCATCATGTTTAATTCCTGCTACAGCAAAGAAACAAAAGCTTATCTGCATCTGTTACTGTACAATACTACACTGAATGTATTTCTCAGATAATTTACAAGGCTCCAAGCATCAGCTCATGACCTATGCAGAAAACAAGACACCAGAAGTCTTCTGAATTGGACGAGCTACATCTACAAGCTAAAATATTTCTCTAGCAACATCATATATGTTTTGATTTTTAACTTTTTCACAAGTGTTTTTTCAAACAAAAAACAAATTGTCTGATAGTGTTGCTAAGGACTCTAGAAGTAACACATTTTTAATGCTTCTCCCAGTAACTTTTTATTTGAAGCACTAATCTTTCTAAAAGGAGTAGATTGTGATCTTTGGAACTTGTTCGTTTCCTGTACAGGTTAAATTAAGCATATTGCAACTAGCTCATAGCAGATCCATTCAAGACATAGTGAAAATTGTATTCTATACCTTAAGATAAACTCCCTTCTCAGTTTCAGCAGGTAACTTGCCTCCATTGTTACTACTTACACTGTAATCAAAGAAAAAGATATTAATTTTGAAGAATCAAAAAGAGACAAGTAGCATTCATAACACCTACTTGCAAATAGAACAAAAAGGCTGTGTTCATAGTATGTGGGTTTTGTCAACCCTTATTCGTCCTCCAAGAAAACGCAGGATTGCAAATTTTTTAGTTCCCTGTCATGCAACACCTGGTGTGTTTTTCCTGATGCCCTCAACAAAAAATACATTAATTTTGATTAAAATGGAGAAGAAATTTTACACTGTTGTTGTAGAGTTCTCCTAACACTGTATTCCCAAGCCAACCTTAAGAACTATAAAATCGCAAAAAAAAAAAAGTTGCTGTATCAGTTGATTACATAAGCAATACCCAGATAACATATATGACAGATTGTCCCTGTGTGTCCCCCATTCAGTCACTGTCACAAAACTTGTGGAAAAAAAAAAATCTCTCATAAACTTTGATTAAGGACACCTGGTTGCAGATTCACTGAACTGCAATCATCACTCCTTGCTAGAAACTGTCAGCTTAAACACCGAGTCACTCCCCTAAACTGTTCCAAAGTCAGCCAGTCAATTTGTACCATGTCACAACCTAATGGTGCTTACTTTAACTGAAACAGATCAGAGTGATCTCTTGAACTTCTAAACTGGCATGTCAAAAAGCAATACTGAGCAGCTAGAGAATGGCCTGGCTCAGATAACTTCTTCTAATTGGAGCTGTACTCAAAGATAAAACATCCATGAAGTTCACTGAGGCTACAGTTAGATTCAAAGGGCGCCTCTTCAGAGCCTGTTAAATGCAATCCATTAACCATGCCACTGCTGAAAAGTACAGTCTCATTTCTCCTCCCTTCCCTACGTCATTGACAGCAATAACAAAGTCATGTGACAAGCTGGTATTCTTCCTGCATCCTCACATAGCTCTCACGCAAGTAAAAATAATGCTTTTGCTTTAAGTCACACTACAGAACACCTTAAGTACTCCAACAATACCTTTCAAGTCACCCTTCTAAAGCAGCAGAGCTGAGTTTTCTGACAGGTATGAGATAACGCAGTACTAGCCCAAGAATAAGCAGCATATTTTACTGTAATAGTGCCTTTACATGGTCATTTAAGTTGTATTGGGACGGACATTGTCTTTCTGTAAGGATTATTTGGCAGAACTTTTAACAAACTTACTTCTCTTTAATTGGCTTGCATACAACACTATGTGCTGGCCAATCTTTTTTCTGACAATCTGCAGAGCAATAGTATATTTGCTTGCATTGTGAACATCTGAGGGATCCTAAAAAATAAAAAAAGTCAGAGAGAAACATCTATATCAGAAGAGACAACAGCTCTTAAGATACAGGCTCCGTGTATTATTTAATAACTGCTTTACAAGACGGTTCCACTACAGTACTAAGCACATACAAATAAGTATTTGTATTCACATATAGCCATCAGACATTACTGCCCCAGATGTCTCAAATTCCTTCTATATTTAAGAAGGAAAAAAAAAATTTTTTTTTATTAAGGAGATGCTCTCTTCTGTTTATCAGAACTATGTTCTGAATAGTCACTATACTTGCATCTGAGAGATAAAAATATACATCCATTTTAAGACATGTCTGAGCAAACCTTCTGATCCAGTTTCACTGATAAATATACTATGCATCACAGACTACAGGACAATAGGCACTTACCAAACAGACTGCAATAATGGCAAGTCCTCATTTGAGGGGGTAATAGTAACGAACTGAAGAGACTCTTATCATAGCCAATAGAGAAAACATTCTCAGAGGAATATTGCAATTTCTTCGGCTTCTCATGAATCAAATCAGAATGTGACACCTGTGGAAGAAAAATCTTAAGTGATCCTTACTAGATAAAAAGCTGCCCATTAAGGTAGAATATTCTAATATACCAAAATGTAGCAAAGAGAATCAAAATTTCAAAGTTCTATAAAGAGCAATACATGCTGATCATTTCTGCTATCTAGAAATGCTCAAGAGTATTTGGGGCAATTATAAAGTGCAGTAACTCACAGTATTTCCTTTATCAGCTGCAGTTCTCAACAGCAAGTTCCCTCTACCAGTTATGCCTTCCATGGACCTTCCTAGAAGCAGAAGTATTTGCAAAGGGATCCGATTAACAATGCTAATGCAGGCCTGTGTTATGGAGTATTTGCAGTAAGACACAAGGCTCTTACCTACTCCTACTATTCTGCTACCATGTTGGAGCAAATGGAGATGCTAGGACCATGATACCCTCTGGAAGTCACTTCTTGTTATAACTTTGATTCTATGTTATTTAAACTTACCATCAGTGGTATTATGAAAGCAACAGTTTCACCGCTCTGTGCTTATCACTTGATAAGTCTTAATGTCCTCCATCGATAAATTTGTTTCAATTAGTGCTGTTCAGCATGTACAACAAAATTTACAGGATTTCCAATATCCATAGGGCAAAAACTCAGAATAGGCAATTTTACAGTAGCTGAAACAGTACAAGTTTCTTTCAATATTGTTGAACATGTGGCCTATGTTAAGTTTATACTTATGCATAGTTTTGTCACATCAGCAAGTATTCAAAAACAAAACACTCTGAAACAAGAGATTTTGACTTTCCAATGACTGCCTCACAAGCCTTGTGGTCTTCCCAGAGAGTTTATTCTTTAGCAAACAAGTCTTACAAGACAAACATTCAGCTAAGCCTGCATACCAATATACCAGGAACTATGTTTTTATAAGTGTACAACTCATTTACCTACAAAAAATTTGTTTCAGTTGTAGGCTACACATGCCGTTCGGAACTTTTTTCAGTGTGGAAGGCTTATTAGCCCAAGATCTCCACCGAGCCAACACAAAGCTTACATGGCCTTTTTTTCCCACCTGAAAGCAAGTTAATCTTGTAAAATTTGCCTAAGCTAAAACTCTTGCCTAACATGAAATCAAATTTCATGAACTCTCCAAACCCAAGATGGCTGCATACCAAGCTATCTCAGATCTCCCAGAATCATCTCCCCTCCCTCACAATTTGGAGTGAAAGAGAGAACACGGATCAGACAGTCCCAAGGCACTGATGAAGGCAAGAAACATTGCTGAGGGAACTCCAACTCCCACTGCACATATCTGTGCCAAATTCCCTAGTACTCCAATTATCCTGTTTTTTCAATTATCTGAAACATTCCAGCCCACACAAGTTTGGATAATTAGGAGTTAGCTGTATTTATAAGCCACACTCATACTGATTATGTTTATTGATAATCAAACATATACACAATTACAGAAGAACAAAGTCAAGATACCTTTGTCAAGCTTTGGACAAAGGCTCTCTTTTGTTGCACTTGTGATGCAACTAAAACTTTCTGTACCGTTTCTACACTTGGCAAAAAATACCCTGTATTGTTTGTTCACAAAATGCTGGGGTTTTGTTAGGTGTTTCAGAAACTCAGCCTCGAAATTGAGAGCTTTTACACTGGAAGTTGGCACCTGTGATTTTGCTGGTTTAACCTCCACAACAACTTTATTACATTTGTTCTTCATGTGAAGCAGTTCCACTATCATGTAAATGTTCACATCAGAGTATGAAGAAAGCATGGATTTAAAGATTAATTCAGGCAGGCACACAAAGTATTTTTAAGTCATGTTCTGAAGGTATATTTAAACATCCATTTTGGAAGGCTAATTCTTGACTGTCTATTTCTATAATCTGCACAGTAAAAAGTAAAATACTTTCTGCATTAAAGATCTCAACAACAAACACTCCAGATGAAATGACAAGAAGTCCTTCAGGAGATGAACGCACTGACGAGCAGCAGTGGCCGTCACCACCTGCACATTAGGTTTGCCGGACTCACACGAGATGTGTCTCACTCTAGATAAATCGCCCCTCCACTGAAGCATAAGCTGCACACACCAGCTCCTCCTGACCAGGAGCGCAGCCACAGGCCAAGAAGGCCCAAAGCCCTGGGACAACCACCAGCTTCTGAGTGGGCAGAGTCAATGCCTGAGGGGAAACTCCAGCACCTGGCTCTGTCAAAATGAACTTTTGGCACCTGCTTTCCAAACGTTAACAAGCAATATAATCACCTTAGATATAAAAATACTCTCTTGCTACACGATGCAGGTGAAATCAAATTAAAATGAACTTGCAAATAAAGCAGAGCAGTCTTTGAATTGACATTGAAGTCAACTCCACCACAAATCAGCTTTCGCAACTGAGTAGTGCCGGTACATGCTATTTTCATTAACCCAGATTAAAATTAAGCATCCCCACCTCACAGCCTCCAACCACGGCTTGGCGGGTGCAGGCCCCACCACCACCACCACCACCACCA